TCCTGGGCAGCCCCTGAACCCACCTGACCCTTTCTGGGACCCCCAGAGCCCCCCCCAAATCCTTCCTGAGACCCCCTGAGTTCCCCCAAATCCTTCTTGGGACCCTCAAAGCCTCCCCAGATCCTTCCTGGGATGCCCTGAAGCCACCAGATCCTTTCTGGGACCCCCTGAGTCTCCCCCAAATCCTTCCTAGAACCCCCAGAGCCCCTCCAAATCCTTCCTGGGCCCCTCCTCATCCCTGTTCTCTCCACAGTGGGGGCCCCGTGGTGGTGCTGGTGCAACTGGAGCGTGAAGAGGAGGTGACTGGGCCGGTCATCGCTCCCCTTTTCCCCCAGGTAGGGGGGTCCTGGGTTGGGTGAGGGGGGGTGTCATCCCCTCCTGCCCCCCAACCCCTTTTAACTCCCCTTTTCCACCCCCCCAGAAACGAGAGGAGGGCTGGTGGGTGGTGATTGGAGACTCCAAATCCAACAGCCTCATCTCCATCAAGCGCCTGACGCTGCAGCAGAAAGCCAAGGTGAGTGGGGACAAGGGGACACCCACAACGTCCCAGCTTTTTCTGGGGGGGAGGGGGGGTCTCCCCAAGACTCAGCTCTTCCCAATCCTGCTGCAGGTGAAGCTGGATTTCGTGGCTCCTGCCACAGGGACTCACAATTACACCTTGTACTTCATGAGCGATGCCTACATGGGCTGCGACCAGGAGTACAAGTTCAGTGTGGATGTGAAGGAGGCAGAGAGTGACAGTGACTCCGACTAACGAGCCCCCTAACGAGCTCCTCCCTAATGAGGCTCCCGTCACCAAGGCTCCCACCGAGCCTCCCACCACCCAGGCTCCCTCTAACTCCAGCCCTGCTGAGGATCCCTCCCTTCTCGTGTCCCTTCCCGTGTCCTTTCCCATATCCCTCCCTTCTCGTGTCCCTTCCCGTGTCCTTTCACATATCCCTCCCTTCTTGTGTCCCTTCCTGTTCCTTCCTTTCCCGTGTCCCTTCCCTTCCCGTGTCCTTTCCCATATCCCTCCCTTCCCGTGTCCCTTCCCTTTTGTAGCGGGTTAGGGATTTGTTGTGGGGTGTATTTTCCCTGGTTTTGGGGTGGTTTTGGAGCTGTTGATGTTTGTACAGTAACTTTTT